GCACACCCAGAGAGACACCGGGTGGGAGGAACGGTGTTGGATTACCCAATCAGCGAGGTAAGCACGGGGTTACTTGTGCTTACTTACTAATCAGTAATGAACAATTTCTCATTTTTTCACCACATCAAAGGTTCTGCTTCTAGGCATGGCTGGCATTCTGTCTCTCTCCCAACCTCACAGAATCAAAGTCTCCAAAGTTTACAGTCCCTGACAGAGGCGGAGTATCCAGTAAGCAAGGTAAGCACGGGCTTACTTGTGCTTACTTACTCATCTATAGGGAACAATTCACATGGGTTTCATCACACGTTTGTGAAACTGTTCTGAGTAAGCACAAGTAAGCCCGTGCTTACCTTGCTTGTTGAGTAATCAGATCCTGGAAGGACAGACAACCCTCTCCCCATCACTCTGCCCCCAGAACACACACACACACACACACACGCACAGACACAGAGGCATGTACAGAAACGCAACCAGACGCTGTGCTGCCCCATGCAGCCAAAGACACAATGCAGGCACACAGTACACCCTGCACAACACGCTACTATGAAGGAAAGGTGACCAGACACACATCCTGAACAGAGACACAACTGGTCTAAACACACCTTCCTTTCAGACACGCACACCCCTTGTAGACTTAACTCTTGGAAGCCGCCCCAGAAAAATACTCTTATAACCCCCCTCCCTGGAGCACACAGTATTCCACAGGAAACCTGCCCAGGTGTGCAGGGGACCCCCACCCAGCCCCCGAATGAAGTCATGCCTCAGCTCTGCACACACCCCAACCGGACTGGAGGCCTGTGGGCCATTCTTCTTGTCCCCCACTGCCCACTTCAGGGCCCCAGATGCATCCAAGTCTTTCCCCATTCTCCCCAGACATAGCGATGCAGGCCCCAGCACACGGATGCCTCCCAAAGTACCCACGATGCTTGGATCCAGAGATGCAGGGCTGACCACATTGGTCACAGGTCCTGTATAGGCCCTTGCCCACGCAGGCTTCTCCACAGCACCAATGTTTCCTCCACTGGCACCCCTTTCTGCCCAGGGGGCTCATTCTTGGTCTCCAGAGCCCTGGGGCCTTGGGGGGTCCACTGGGGGCCTACCCAGACCCCTTCCATTTCTTTGTGCCTGAATCAGCCAAGCCTCAGTCTTTTCTCTGGCTCTCACTTCCCTGTCACTTTGCTAAGTAATAATTTCCATGTCCAATTCCATTTCTTTTCTAGTTCTGAAACCTCTAAGCTATCAGCAAGAGGATAGTTCACATGAAAACTAATTACACAAAATCAATATTTAATCACAGACCAACAACCTGATCCTGCAAAAAAATCCCTTTAAAACTCCACCGCCCTGTACAAATACTTCTTCCTGCTGCTTATTTATGGACCCCATTTTTGGTGGGAGTAATTTTCATTTTTAATTTCAAAAGGGGGAAAAAAAAAAAAAAAGCCAACTCTGTAGACATCCACCACACGGAGGCGTCCAGAAGGGCTTGGCATCTGAGCCGGCTTCAGCTCCCTGAGTTTTCAAGTTGCTGGGTTTTATTGTTTGTTTTTTATTTATTTTTTGACAGGGGGAGGCGGTTTCCTCGGAAGTGCCTTGAGACCCTTCTTCCTGCCCCTCCCCCCTCCCCCGTGGCCCTAACTTGAACCCATTTTCCCGGCGCTTCAGTTCGGGAACACCCAGCGTCTGCCTTCCTTCGTAGCAGCAACTCAGGGGAGCAATGAGTCCGCGCGCACGACGTGGTAACTTTTTAACTTGCGCCCGCGACGGTGGAGTGCTTAATCTGAGGCTTTTAAATAAAAAGGGCTCAGGGGTTGGTTTTATTATAACGTTTATTTCATTTCAGATTTCATGCACAATTTAGCAAACGCTAGACAGACTTGGGCGATAAACACTTTTCTTTTGTGGGGGGAAAGGCATTTTTATACACCATGCTTAATTTTATTTAGATTTAAAAGCGATATCAGGGGGCACTTCAAAGAAAGTTCTTTTTTTTCCCCCTCTCTCTCTCCGCTTCTAAGAATGCTGTTCCTCTGGCAAAATCGCCTTGTGCTATTTTATGGCAAGGAAAATTAAAGGCCTCCTCCTCCCTCCTCCCCTACACACACTTTAGGGAAGGACACACACTTAACTCCACAACCCCCCACACCTCTAATTCCCAACTTCTAATTCTTCTAAGATAGAGTTCAGCCTCGGTAGGGATCAGGAAGATGTAAACATTTTAACTAAGATTATTGGGATAAATATTTCATAAAGAGCAGGGCAGATATTAAATGACTCCTATTGATTTTTGTATCACAATTCAATTCCGTCCCTTGGCCTCTTCAGCTTAATTGATCTCTTAAGGAGGCTAACCTCGCGCCCGCAGAGGGCCTGGGCCTTGGCCGGAGCGCCCGGAGTCCCCGGAGCATGAAGCTGGGGCTGCCCGGTGCGCCCTCTGCGCGCGGATCTCCTCCGGGCTCGCGGTCGCCTAGCCTCGCCGCTCCGCTCAGCCCAAGTGCCCCGCTCCTCCCCCTCGCCGTCCCAGGGGCCGGGTGGTAGTGGCTCCTCCGGGCGGAAGCCAAAGCCTGAAAGCCAGCCGGGAACCCCAGACGGGGGGGATTTAGAACAATTGTGCGCGCCCTTCTGAGGGAGGAGCGAGCAAGCGCTGGGATCTCCAGCGGAGAACCCTAACTCCAGGGTTCCCACTGTGCTGCTTTAACCTCCAAGGAAGATCCCAGGCGGGCTAACTTAAGCGCCGCCGGTACGCAAACCCAGGTGTTGAGACAAGGGTTCGCTCCAGGGCTGAAGCGCGGTCCACACTTCGCTACTTCCCTTGACAAGTCCAGGGGCTTTGCCTGGACCCCATTGTCTAAGCGCCCCGTACCGCTCACCGCTCACCGCCCACCTCCCCGCCCCCTGCCCACCCGGCGGGTTTCGCTCCAGTTGGGGGTGGGGAGTTGGGGACGGTGTGAGTAGGGAGCGGGGGGGGGGTGAACAAAGCCAAGCTCCCGCTTCTCTTCTCCGCCGGCGTCCCCTCCAGCCCGCTGCGCCCCAAGGCCAGGGCGCGCGCCCTAAGCACTGGCGCCGGACCCCGAGGCGAGGCGGGCGCGGGAGACTCCGGAGCTGGGGAAGTGCGGATTCGTGGCGGGGGCCTCAGCCGCCAGGACCTGGGACCACCTTAAGAGTGAGCCCCGCCCCGGGCCCGGAGCTCTGGCGGCGCTGATTGGTGGAAATGTAATGGCTGAAATTGATTGCTGAAATGCAAAACTTGTTGCTGCTTCTCCCGGAGCTGGGCGAGAGGCAGACGCAGAGAGGAGAGCCCAGACCCTCCGAGCGCCCCACGCAGAGCGCCCCCCCCCGCCAGCTAGGAAAGGGGTGCGCGGACCCCCAGAGCGCCTCTGCCCCCCCCCTCCATTCCCTGCTCCAAGAGCGAAGCCGGAACGCCTTAGCCTGCTTGCCCAGCGTGGCCTTTCAACCCGCGGAAGCCCCCCTCCTCCGGGTCCGAAAGGACTCGAGAAGCACCTCGGCGCGGAGGCAAGGAACCGAAGCCTTGGAGTGACCCTTGTCTTGCTGCCCTGCAGCGCCTGGAGCGGGGCGCGGAGACTCCTGCTAACTCAGAGACTCAACAGCGGACGACTGAAGCGGCAGCCGGTGGACGTGGCCGCGAAGCGGCGCGCCGGGGCGCAGAGCACCCGCCGCCGAGCAGCGTAGCCTCGCCTCCTTCCGGACCCTCAGCTCCAACCCCAGACGCCCACCGCCTACCCAGCCCCGCTGCGCCCTCGGCTTGGAGGCCGGCGCGGGCGATGCCAAGCGGAGCCTCCGGCCCTCCGACCTACTGAAGAAGCAGCAGCCGCTCGCCTTGGGCCTCCGGAGACTGCTTGGCGGTGGCTCGGGCTGCAGTGCGCGGGGACTCCGGGGGGAGGGGGGAGGGACCGCTCTGACGGTGCCCGGGCTCCAGCCGCGGCTTTGAAGGGTCTCCCTCCCCGACCCCTTAGCAGCTCTACCAAGGACTCCGGGAGGCTGTGGACAGCGTCCTGTGGCTCCCCACCCGGCCAGATCGGACTTCAGAAGGTGATCACTCCGCTTTCCCTCACCCCTTCCCGCTCCCTTCCCCCCTACTTAACTTTTTGTCTCGGCTTGCCCGCGGCTTCGCCCCCTCCCCGCAAACCCACCCTCCGTTGGGTCAACCGCCCGAGGCATGGGCCCCCCAATTCGGCTCCTGGAGGCTCCGCGGCCCCTCAAGATGTGAGAGCGGCTCGCGCCGGGCAAAGCCAGAGCTTTGGGAGAGAAGCCGATAGTCGCTAGACTCCCCACGTCAGGCGTGGTGGCGGTGCGCCCTGCGCCCCGGCGGTGCTGAGTGTCGGGGAGCGCCCAACCCAGGGCCGGTACGAGTAGCTGGCCCGAGGCGCGCGGCGGAGAGCAGGCTGTCATGCTCTATTGATCCCCCCGCCCCCCGCCAAGTATGTTTGGGCTGGACCAGTTCGAGCCCCAGATCAACAGCAGGAACGCTGGCCAGGGCGAGAGGAACTTTAACGAGGCCGGACTGAGCATGAACGCCCACTTTAAGGCCCCGGCTTTCCACGCTGGGGGGCCCCCTGGCCCCGTAGACCCTGCCATGAGCGCGCTAGGCGAGCCCCCGATTTTGGGCATGAACATGGAGCCGTATGGCTTCCACGCGCGCGGCCACTCTGAGCTGCACGCGGGGGGGCTGCAAGCGCAGCCGGTGCACGGCTTCTTCGGTGGCCAGCAGCCGCACCACGGCCACCCGGGCGGCCACCACCCCCACCAGCATCATCCCCACTTCGGGGGCAACTTTGGCAGTCCGGACCCTGGGGCCTCGTGCCTGCACGGGGGACGCCTCCTAGGCTACGGTGGCGCCGCCGGTGGCCTGGGCAGCCAGCCGCCCTTTGCGGAGGGTTACGAGCACATGGCGGAGAGCCAGGGGCCGGAGAGCTTCGGCCCGCAGCGGCCGGGGAACCTCCCGGACTTCCACAGCTCGGGTGCCTCGGGCCACGCCGTGCCAGCCCCATGCCTTCCGCTGGACCAGAGCCCCAACCGGGCCGCCTCCTTCCACGGCCTGCCCGCCTCCAACGGCTCTGATTCCCACAGTCTGGAGTCCCGGAGGGTGGCGAACCAAGGAGCTGTGGACTCGCTGGAATACAATTATCCGGGCGAGGCGCCCTCGGGACATTTTGACATGTTTTCGCCCTCTGACTCCGAGGGGCAGCTGCCTCATTACGCGGCGAGCCGTCATGTTCCCGGGGGCGCTTTCCCGGGAGCCTCGGCCCTGCCGAGAGCCGCGGGCATGGTGGGCTTATCCAAAATGCACGCCCAGCAAACGCAGCAGCAGCAGCAACACGGCATATTCTTCGAGAGGTTCGGCGGGGCACGCAAAATGCCGGTGGGCCTGGAGGCGGGTGTGAGCGCCAGACACCCACTAATGCAGCCTCCACAGCAGGCCCCACCGCCCCCGC